ATCATTTTAATTTAAAGTTATTTCAAATATATTTTAATAAGAATTATTTTTTAAATACATCTTTTTGAAAAAAAATTAATTTTGACAATATTTTAATCTTTAAACATGTATATTTATGTTACTAATTGATATTTAAAAAATAAGTTAAATTTTTGTTTTTTATTTTAAAAAATGGCTTTGAGAAAAATCAATTTTGAATATATAAAAAATCTATTTTTTTAAAAATAAAACAAACATATTCATAATCCTAGTATTTTTTACTACAAGTTACAAACTCAAAAGACCAAGCAAAATGGTTAACACAATAGAGAGCACATAATTAATGCAAAAACATATAACAACAATGATCAAACTTTATATAAGTAAGTGAAATTGATCACATAAATCACATTACATTATTAATGAGAGGCATTTTTGACACCATATCATTTGTCGAGGCAGATTTAGAAGAACGAGAGAATTGCAAAACCATGAAGAAGAAAAAAAGTGAAAACATTTTAGTTTGGTAAAATGCAACGTGCCTTCAGAAAAAAAAGAAAGGCGAAATATGTGAAACTAATAAAAATTCAAATAAATAAATAAATACATATGATAGGAAAAACAAATCATATATTAAAGACTCACATTTTATATAAAGAATGATGAATTTAGAATAATATATTTAAGTTAAGATAAATATGTTATTAAAGAGTGATTCAAGCATATGAGAATGATAATGATAAACTCTCACTAACCTTAAATATCAAAAGACTCTAGTTAGTGATTCTACTAATGATTTTTTAAATTAAAGGCCATAGAATGTCCATATAAGACTAAGAATAGTAATTACATATATGCATAAATAATCTCAAAAGTAATTACATTAAATCATAAGTATCTTCATAACATAATATCATACTCCATAGAAGTATTAATATTACACTCGTACTTTTGTATTTATGTTCATCATCACTCATAACTTAGTTTTGATGAAGATAAAAGTCTATCGTAGAAGAAAGATCAAAGAAGAAAAAGATTGTAAAAGATTGAAATCAAAGTATCAAGTTTGCATAAATGTTTGAATTTCAATGGAATTAGATCATAGACCAGGGTACTTTGTGTATTTGAGTTGTTATAAGCTTTAGGTGCTCAATAATTAATCATAAACTTTTAAGCATGCATAAGGTTTAAGTTGCATCTTTAACTTAGCAAAAATTGCACTTTTTCATTGAAGTAATCGATTATCATATAGACGTAATTGATTGATCAAAAATCTCTATCAAACCAAATTTGGAATTTGAACTTATGACAATCAAATGTCAGCAATCGATTGTCACCGTGTAAATTTTGCCTTTTTTAAATGTTGGGGTATAGGTAATCAATTGTCATGGCAAAGCAATCGATTGTCATTTGAAAAACTTTGAAAAAATTATGAACTATCTCAACACCTTTTCATGGAACATATTTATAACACCTTTTCCAAACCATTGCAAATTTTATTCTAAATTTTCTAAACGTTATCATTGCTTGCAAGAGATTTCTTATGTCATATAAATAACCGAATTTTTCATTATTCAAATTACCTTATTCATAAATAATTTTATGTTTTTCAAGTGTTTATAATATTTAACAGAAAAAAACTTTCCTGCATAATTTTCATTCATAGGTGAAAAAGTTTAGAGAAAACACTTGAATACTTAAATGTTTATATCATCTTGATTTGTTCATTGAAGGAGAAATTTGAATTTTCATATATAAAAAAAGTAGCAAAGTCTCAATTTGATCAAGCTTGCCACAAAGTGTCTATATAATATTTCATTTATTTGTTGTATTTTTTACAAAGTGTGTGGTGATTTTGGTCTATTAGAAGTGAACAACATTATATTAACAAGCATAAACATGCAAAGGTAAAAACTGAAATACATATATGAAAATTTTGTTTACCAGTCGATGCACAAAGGCCCAGTCAAATATTACAAGAGAAAATAAAAGGGAAAAAGAACAAAATGGTGCTCAAATGCCTGCACCCGGATCCTCAGATCCTAGACCACCTCTGGTATCCTTCTTAGATGAGTCAGCTAAAGGGACCAGGTGGTCAGCAATGAAAGCAAGGCCAAGAGAGAATGTTCGAGCATGCTCCAACATTTTGTCTCGGACTTTTCCGAATGCCTCTAATGACCACTTGAGAGATTGTCGAGATTTCTGCCGAGCATCAACCACCTTTTCATCAAGACTCTTCAAAGCATTGGCCAAGTCCTCATTCCTCTACTGAAGAGATTTCCAATATGCTTCGAATGTCGAACATGGTTTATCCACAACTGCAGAAACCTTCTCATTGTGTTTTTTTTCTATCACCAAGAAAATCTTTCAGCTTCTTTATCTGAGCAGCTAAAAGGGACGTTCATTCGTACCAATCCACCTCTTTCCTAAGGGAGCTAAGAGCATCATCATTTACCCAGATCTCAACCAATTCCTCTTCAACGTGGAATCTTTTTGTTCGAGGACTTCACACCTCTCCCTCAGCTCATAGTGCTCCCTTGAAAGCTCGTCGGAGCCCATAACGTCATCCTGGCCAGTACCCACAATAGAGACAAGGGACCCAACCCTAAACAAAGTACGATAAGCATCTGTTAAAAGGCCCTGTCTGTCACTCATGGATAAACCTTGGTAAAGACAACATATTTTAGGCTAGGCGCACTCTTTGATAGCAGACGTACGAAGTGGGGTTCAGTATTACAACCAGGTCAGTAGTATAGTGATACTTTAATGAAATTCATGAAAGACGAAGCTGCCAAAGCCAACACACATGTGGTCACAATCTTTGACCGTAATAAAGGTTGGTTCAGTGTTGCCGAGTCGATTGATCACAACGAAGGAAGGCCTAGGGGATGTTACCGTGCTGAACTGGATAGGAGCTAGTGTGATTGTGGGAAGTTTCAGGCATTTCGTATGCCTTGCTCTCATGTTATAGCAGCATGTTCGAAGGCGCGACAGGACCCAGCCAACCTTCTTTCTGTAGTTCACCAAGTGATAAATCTATGCAATGTCTACACATGTAGCTTTCAGGTGGTGGCAAAGAAGGACTATTGACCTCAATACGAAGGCGAAATTGTCTGGCATAATGACTTGATGCGCAGAAAGAAAAAGGGTCGCCCTAACAGGACGCGCATTCGAACGAAGATGGATACCGCAAACAAGATGGTAAGATTATGTAGTTCGTGTCGACAATCAGGACACAATCGTACAAAATGTCCTAACGTAGGATCAAGCAGCAGATCATAGTTTCATATGTAACTGTGTCCCTCTAAATCAATAGCAAATTTCATTCCATTTAAAGTATACTTAACCGATTACAATTAGCAAGCAACAGAAATTAAACAAACATAACTTAATATCACAACAACATTCCGAAAATAACAACATAAAGACATAAAACAGAATAATGCACCAATGCGTCTACGATATCACGACCATCAATGTTATCTTCTTTGGTGTTAACATCATCACAAGGACACCAGCATCATTTTCCATTTTTCTCCATTCACGAGTAACTCCGTTTCTCCCAGCCTCCTCGACCAACCTCTCAATTTTCCTAATCTTTTCTCCTGGAGCAATATCTCCTTCTAGCCAGCGGTTCAGTTCCTTATGCAAATGCTCCAACGTCTGCGTATTCCACGGGAGCACCTTCATCGGAGGCTTTGTTTCTGAAAAAACAACTAGGGCATTTCTTTTCATTAGAGGAAATGTTGGAAAGGGTGCATCTGATACTGATGACGACGACGAAGAACGTTGAGTTAGAAATGCAGACATTCTAGACTCCACTCCACTCAAAATTGTTAAGACTTCAGTCTTTTGGTATACAATATTGTGGAAACATATATGTGTTTGCAGTCCTATTTATAGAAAAATAAAATAGTACGTGCCTCATATAATATGTCTTAAATACTCTTACAAATTTTATATACTTTTTTTCAACAAATACCAACATTTTTCAAAGAAATATATAAAAATATCAAAATTCAAATGTGACATACTATTATATATTTTAAATTTATATATTTAATTATATACAAATTATATTTTAAAAATATATGTTAATCATATATTTATTATGTTTTAAAATTTATACCTATTTATATTCATTATGTTTAAAAATTATATACAATTAAATTTATTATTTTATAAAACTATATCATAAAAACTATATTTATTGTTTGATTATTTAATCCAATTTTTTGTGATATAGTTTACAAAAATACTAATTATTAAACAAAAAATATAAATATATAGTTTAATAAAAGCAATGTAAAAAATACTATATTCATTGTTTCATAAAAACTATATTTAATTGTATTAATAATTTAATTGTTTCATAAAAACAATGTAAATATATTTAGTTTATGTATATTTTATAAAACTATATTCATTGTTTCATAAAAATTATATCACAAAAAATATTTAAAAAAAAAAAAAAAATAGTTCATAAATTCCCAAACCCTAAACAGAAAAAAAAAATTAAATGGGTCAAGTCGCCAAATGGATTGGCGACAGGACCCCAATCCCATTACTATGTTGCCATTTCATTAGGCGAGTCCATATGAAAAAGTCTGAGTCGCCACATCAATTGGCGACACGAGATTGAAATATAGTCATTTTCAACAATTATTTAAAATTTCGATTTGTTTGGCATTTTTTTTTAATAACATGGTTATATTAAAAAAAAAATCGAAAAAGTCTATTTCATGGGGTAAAGAAATTTAATTGTGTATAGAGAGAGAAAGTGGTGTAGGGGCAGATTGGGTGTGATCCAACCTCACCCTATTTCAGCCAATCACAAACTCTTATTATATTACTTTTGATGAGCCCTTCACAGTCCCTCCCCACATATTCCTTATCTCCTTACTCCTACTAACCACACCAGCAACGTTGCCCAATATCAAAACCTTGAAACTCTTCAACTCACATTCATTCATCTTCATTTTCCATTCTTGTATCCTTAACTGATTATAGAATATTGCATTATGGCAACTAATTCTCTCCATTCAATTCAACACCATTCTCTCATGAAACGCCAACACTACTACAACCCTTCTGAAACAGCTCCTCCATCCACACTTTCATCCTCACTGTTCCTCAAACCAACCAGCACAAACATAACCCTCTCTCACTCTTCAACTTCCAACACTTTTACCACATTCTCACTCTCTCAAACAACATCCTCCACGCCATCATCAACCTCTCAATCCTCCTCCTTTGAACTCCTCCAGCAGCTTCTCTCAGCCAAAAACTTCCGCGAAGCTGACGACGAGACAAGGCGGCTTCTCATCGTGTTAGCAGGCGAAGCAGCTCAGAGGCGGGGATATGTTTTCTTCTCAGAGGTCCAGTTCATCTCAGAAACAGACCTCCAGACAATTGACAAGCTGTGGAGGGAGCATAGTGACAACAAGTTTGGATACAGTGTTCAGAAGAAACTATTCGGTAAGGCTAAAAAAGACTTCACCAACTTCTTCATTAAGGTTGGTTGGATGAAGAAGCTTGACACTGAGATGGAGCAGTATAACTATAGGTCCTTTCCTACAGAGTTTATATGGGAGCTCAATGATGATACACCAGTGGGTCATTTACCTTTGACAAATGCACTCAGAGGAACACAGTTGCTGAGTAATATATTTAGCCATCCAGCTTTTGATGCAGTTCAAGATGAAGTTGAAGTTTCATTTGGTAAAACTGGGGGAAATGGAGGATTCAAAGGGTTGAAAGATTCATCAAAGACATCAGCTCAGAATATCTTCAAATCAGACTATAGTTTCTGATAGAGTTCAGGACAAAGTTTACAATAATAAGCTTGCTGAATGCATAGAGAAGAATGTAACTTAATTTGTGTTTTCATTTTTAAGTATATACATAGTAATTATTGATTCATCATCAAGAGATGAAGGTAGTTGCTTGAATTGTATTTTTTTACTTTAATATGGATAACTGCATTCTACAAACTCTTTAAACTAAAGGTTCATATGTTAGCTATCATAATTTTGTGTGAATACTTGTGCACATAATGGACAAATTACATAGCCTGCCATATTGTTTTATCCAAATCCTCTTTCTATAGTGACAACTGCTGATTTTTCAATTGCAACTTGCAATGGAGCTTTACTAAAAGTACAAAAATTCACTTCAGCAACTTCTGCATTTTCTATAGATTGTTTACTTAAAAGTCTCTCACTTTAGTTTTCCCTCCATAATTCCATTTCTCTATTTCATTCCCTCCCATCCACCAACACAAAATCTAATAAACACCTTCATTCCAATTTTTAAACAATTGCAACACTCTTATGTACTTTAGTACAAATCAAATGTTGCTAGTGGCAAAATACATGCACACTTATGTGAAAAAATGCAGGCTAGAACCTGCATCACTTAATCTCAAATGTCTTTGCAGCTTTTATCCTCTAAATTGTACTTACAGGGCGATGTATGTGCATGTCTATAAGTTACATTATTGTTTTATAATTAATTGGTTATTTCGTTACTATTACTAATCTAAATCCAATAAAATGCTTAATAGAAACAGTTATGGGGCCAAATTTGCTTGGATACTGCAACATTTCCTTTTCAACTTTCATGCCTCACCAAACTAAAGCAATCACTAAATGAGAATATAGTTGTTTCTATTTCAATTTTTACAATTATATTTATTTGTTCCATAAATTTAGTTTCTTATGAAAAACAATAAAAATTCATAAACAGCCTGTGTTAAAATTTACTTACAACATTTTACCTCTACATTTCTTCACTCTTTAATCCATTAAAACATGAAAGTAACCCTTTTCAATCTAGCCTATTCTCTTTTCCTGGTATATCTATCTCATTCTCTCTAAATTTTCCAAACGCAGCCCGGAGTAGTCTTCTTTCCAGATTGTGAAAGAAATAGCTAATAAGCTAATTTTTTACAACATAAAGGAGACTGGGTGTTACATATTAAATTTCTCAAGGTTGATGCTTTTCACGTGTTTCCTCCTTCCATACCATCAAAACAAGAGATGCCACTTCGATACCGGCCCTTCCAGTGCTACAAATCTAGTACATCAGAAATTTTGCTGAAATTTTGAGATTTAAACAAAAAGGAAGCAAAATTTGTAAGGAAACACATTAAATAGATAATTTCCACCTTAAGAAAATTAGTCGGCCAACTTAACATTACAAGAGAAAACGCCATACTTGACTTCAGTTTTATAGAATTCTTTTTCTTTTCTATTGCAAACTGATAAAGAAAGATATTTAAATTTCGGACATCACAGACAATTTAAAAATGTTCAAAAGGACCACAACTTACCCGGCAAAAAACACTAAGCACATGGACACAGTCTCTTTGTGTGCTGATGTGAACCGTCACAAGAGAGTATAGATTGTGTTTCAGTGTATAAGCATGATCCTGGATTCTGAAAACAATCCAAAGCAAATATCAATTTAAATGTTCTTAAAGAAACAAATAATCTGTATTTCTTTAATATTTCAATAAGTAATACATGAAAGTTATTTATAGAATACAAGGGACAGATTAATAATCTTAAATCTGGCCTGAGAATCAGAGCAATTATCCTCCCTTTAAATGCTAATTCTAAATATGGTAGAAGACAACTAATTACTAATTATTATTTACAATGAATATTATGCTGAACTATATAACACAGAATCTATTGATTTTGTACTTATCTCTAATAACTTCCAACACTCCCCCTCAAGTTGGCATGAATATGTCATTCATTGCAAACTTGCTCACCATATCATCAAATTGTCTCTTTGAAAGACTCTTTGTGAGAACATCTGCTACTTGACTTGTGGTAGGTACATAGGACATACAGATTTCACCACTGTCAATTTTTTCTTTAATGAAGTGCTTGTCCACTTCAACATGTTTCGTTCTGTCGTGTAGGACAAGATTATGGGCAATGGAAATAGCTGCCTTATTATCACAGTAGACTTTAATTAGTGTTGGGCTAGAGACCTTCAATTCCTCCATGAATTTTTTAATCCATAATACACTTCACAAAAACCATGGGCCACTGAGCGGAATTCAGCCTCTGCACTGCTCCTAGCTACAACATTTTGCTTTTTACTTCTCCATGTAACTAAGTTTCCACCTACAAAAGTACAATAGCCAGAAGTAGACCTCCTGTCATTTATATTACCTGCCCAATCAGCACTTGTGTAAGCTTCCACTTGTATATGCCCTCTGCTTTTGAACATCAACCCCTTCCCTGGAGTTCCTTCTAAATATCTCAATATTCTGAAAATAGCTTCAAAATGAGTAGGTTCTGGTGCATGCATAAACTGACTTATCACACTTACTGCAAAGACCTTGTATGAGACAAATAAATTAGTCTACCGGCCAGTCGTTGGTAGCGTTCCTTATTTACCACTTCATCTTTAGATGCTGCCTTCAGTTTTACATTGGGATCCATTGGTGTTTCTGCTGCTTTACACCTTGTCATCCCTGTTTCTGTGTGTAAATCAAGTATATATTTGCGTTGATTGAGAAAGATTCCCTCCTTAGACCTTGCGAACTCCATCCCGAGAAAATACTTTAATTTTCCAAGGTCCTTGATATCAAATTCAGCTTCAAGTCTTCGCTTTAGATCACCTATCTCGTTAACATCATCTCCTGTCATGATAATGTCATCGACATACACAATTAAAATAACAATCTTACCTTCATCTGAATGTTTAAAGAATAATGTGTGATCTGCTTGACTTTGGGTGAAACCATGTTTCTTAACAACACTTCCAAATCTTTCAAACCAGGCCCTTGGTGATTGTTTTAATCCATATAAGGACTTTTTCAATTTGCAGACTTTGTCCCGTCCAAGATTTTCTTCAAATCCAGGAGGTAAACTCATAAATACTTCTTCATGTAATTCTCCATTCAAAAAAGCATTTTAAACATCAAATTGATGTAGTGCCCAATTGAAATTTACTGTAAGAGAGAGAAGAATTCTGATGGAATTAATCTTAGCAATCAGGGCAAAGGTCTCTTGGTAGTCTATACCATGAGTTTGAGTAAAACCTTTTGCTACTAGCCTTGCTTTGTACCTTTCTACATTTCCATCAGCCTTGCATTTCACCGTAAAGACCCATTTACATCCAACTGCCCTTTTGTTATGAGGTAGATCAGTGATACTCCAAGTATTATTTTTCCTTAGAGCATCCATCTCTTCACTGCTAATTTCCAATTCGGATCACCTAATGCTTCTTGAATAGTCCTGGGCACAAACAAATTCGAAATCCGCGACACATATGCCTTGTGAGTGTGTGATAACTTGTCATATGACAAGTAATTAGACATGGGGTGTTTAGTGCATGTTCGAGTACGTTTCCTATCAGCAATTGGGATATTAAGGTCATGAATTTTTTTTCTCAAAGCAATAGGAAGATTAATATCAGAAAAAGACAAATCCAATAAATTATTGGAAGAGTAAGATTGATTACCAGATGAAGAACTGGAAGGTGAAATTTCAGTAGGACCTTCACTTGGTAAATCAGATTGGATTTTTTCCAGAGAGACAATTGGATTTGTAATACCTTTGTGAAACCTTTTTCGGACATACACTTGAAGTTGAGGATTATGATCCTCAATCAGTTTTTCTCCCCCTGTTTCAGACATTATATTATTCGACATTTCAAGATTAAGCATTTTGGATTCTATTATCTTTGTATCTGGATGATTTGTAGTCACAATATCATCCAACGCAGGTAAAGTTTCCCAAAAATTATCTTCTTTATCAACACAATGATTCTCCCCCTGAAGAGAACTTTTATTAAAAAAAGGTTGATTTTCAACAAAATTGACATCCATACTTTCAAAAGATTTCTTTGTTATTGGGTTAAAACATTTGTAACCCTTTTTGTTTGAAGCGTAGCCAAGAAAAACACATTTAGGATCCAATTTGGAACGGAAAATATTTGGGATGTAGACATAACAAAGACAACCAAAAACTTTAAGGGGAAGATCCGCAATGATGCGAGATGTGGAAAAGTAATTTTGTAAAACTTGCACAAGAGTCTCATATTTTAAAACACGAGATGGCATTCTATTGATGAGGTAACAAGCAGTTAATAAGGCATTTCTCCAAAGATATTTAGGTACATTCATAGAAAACATAATAGCTCTAGTGACTTCGAGGAGATGTCTATTTTTTCTTTCAGCAATACCATTTTGTTGTGGAGTATCACGACAAGTGGATTGATGAATTATCCCCTTAGCTACTAGGAATGTACTTAGATATTTGTTTAAGTATTCAGTGTCATTGTCAGACCTTAGAATGTCAATCTTAGTTTGAAATTGGTTTTCAATCATTTGAAAAAAATCTTTAAACCTTTGTTCCACTTCAGATTTTTTTTTCTAAGAGATAAATCCAACACACACGTGTGTGGTCATCAATAAATGTCACAAACCATTTTTTTTCAGACATAGTTTTAATTTTTGAAGGACCCCAAACATCACTATGGATTAAATAAAAAGGTTGCGAAGCAGAATAAACTTTTGAAGTAAAAGACACACGATGATCTTTGACTAACTGACAAGCTTCACAATGAAATTGTGAGGAATTTATTTCTTTGGCAAATTTTGGAAATAAATACTTAAGATAAGGGAAACTAGGATGGCCTAATCTTTTATGCCATAACATAACTTGATCTGAAACGGGAGGTAAACTTGCACTGTTTAAACCAAAAATCATTGCATTTCCAAGAGGAGTTTCATCAAAGTAGTACAATCCATTCATCTCTCTAGCAATTCCAATCATCTTCCCCGAGT